GTTTTAACCACCAGCCTTCTGGTTAGCAGTCAAATGCCTTAGGCACTATGCCACCAGAGCTCCCTCCAAAGGTACTATACTTGCTAAGCTTTTTAAATAAGAAACATAAATATTGTCTTACTGTCTCTTTGCCTTCATTTAGACCACTTTCCTATGCTTTATGGAAGGATTGCTCTGCCTTTACTCCACATAGACATAGAATGGATATGTTTAAAAAAGATAACAGAAGTTTTTAAACTCCAATTCCCTATTTTCCTCTTATTCCAACACTTAAAGAAGATAGTATAGCACATGGAACTCTACTTCTAAAAAGATAGTTCAGACTTGAATCACAAGTTAAAACAGGTTTTTGGTGTTCAAGTTTGTACTCTGCAGTAGTTCTGTACAGCTGTACATCAAATGCCTGCATATTTTGGCACAGCTTACAATCAGCCTGAATTGGATCCGTATGACAAACTGCAAAATATCTTCATAGAACATGTTTGTACTGTGACTCTGCTTTGAGCAACTGTCTTTTGTTTTTTTGGGTCTCTAACTAATTAATTCAAAATTATTTAATGAGATCATCAAGCCCTGTCAAGTCTTCTCTTACAATTTCCTGCATATTCTACCCTTCCTTCTTATTGCCCCTCCTGCATTGAACTGTCACGGCTAGACTGTCGCTATAGTCTCCTAACTCTGCCTAAATCTAGTATTTCCCACAACCTTAATGTTGCCAAAACAATATTCCTAAATTACCTCCTTGCACATCACATGTTTTCATTTAAGAGACAGCCAAAAATCAAATCAACCCTTCAATGGCTTCCTATTAGCCAAATAAAAAGTTCAAATTTTAGCCTCACATTTAAGACCTTCATAATTTGGCTCCAGTCTAGTATTCCCACTCTAACAGTCCTACTCCCTTTCCCTCTGCCAAACTAGCCTGTTCACTAACCCACCATTCCCCTGCATGCACATGTGCGTGCACACACACACACACACACACACACCTTCTTCTCTGTCTGCTTCCAGGGCTTTGCTCACACTATTCACCTTCCAGGAATGCCATCACTGCTGCCCTTCGCCTATTCAAGTACTACTTGTCCTTCAAAGCCAAATTTAACTTCCTCTCTTCATTGCCTATCAAAGCTAGACACATTCTCTTTGGCCACTATATAGTGAGTATTGTACAAATAACTCACTTGGTATTTCTTTGATGCCTGGTATTGCTATCTAGTATTGTCTGTGGTTGTTCCACTAGACTGGACCTGAGTGTATAAACTGGATTATCTGATGACCTTCTGCCACTTCTCTGTCCTTTTTCAGGCAATCAGTTTGTATTTGAGAGAACAACTGGTTAAAGACATTATTCATTCACCAAACATTTACTGAATACCTAATATGTACATCAAGGAGCTCTGGTGGAGGTATGGTTAAAGCACTGGGCTGCTAACCACACCTCAGGAGAAAGATGAGGAAGTCTACTTCCATAAAGATTTACAGCCTCGGAAACCCTGTGGGGCAGTTCTACTCTGTCCATTGGGCTGCTATCAGTCGGAATTGACTCGATGGCACTGGGTTAGGTTTGGTTTGAAATATGTGCAACAGAAACCACCCATACAGACAAAAAATCTTATCTTCATGGAACTCATAGATTTTAGAAAAAGAGAAACAGATTTCTTTTTTTAAAAAAAAAGTAAATTATACATAATACCAGAAGGTTCTAAGTGTTACAGGGAAAATGAATACAATTAGAACTTTCAAAATCAGGTGACTGGTGGAGAAGGCAGATAAGGAGAATAAGGTAGGGTAGAAGTTGTCATTTTAAATAGAATGATGAGGAAACTTAGTTTCCCTGAGAAAATGACATGTGAGCAGGTCTTAAATGAGGTGACAGAGTATGTGGCTATCTGGGAGAACAGGCCAGGCAGAAGAAGAACAAGTGCTACCACCCTAAAGCAAGACTATACCTGGTATATTCAGGGGAGAGCAAAAAGGACAATGTGGAGAGGGGAGAATGGGAGGAGTGAGGGCAGATAAGCAATAGGAGCTAACCTGTGGAAAGTCTTATAAACCACTAAGGCACTCTGGCTTTTATCACTAGTGGAGTAGGGAGCCAATGAAGCACCAGGAGCAGAGCAGACATAATCAGACTGACTCATACCTGGAACTGTCAGTTTGGAAGCTCACTGAGAGAAGACAGATGGAACAAGTGTAGAGGCAGAAAGACTAGCAGGGAGGTATCAATTAGGTGAGAGGTAATGGAGATTTGGACCAGGAAGGTGACACTGAAATATATCCAATTCTGGACATATTTTGAAGAGAGATTTACTGATGGATTAAATGTGTGGTAATAAAAAAGGGGAAAAGATGACTCTAGTACATGAGAGGTACAGACAACAAAGATGAACCCTTTTGCACATACAGTACTGCGTTGTCAGTGAAGGCATACATGGATATATGGGTGGATAGATGGGTGGACAGGCTGAACTATTAGGTATGTCTATGTAGGGGGGAGCGTGCCCAAGACCATGTACAGGGTTGGCAGACAATGTTTCTATAAGTGTATTGGTATGTTCTGTAAGAATTCCCAGGTATATAGTAGAGCTGACAAGGGACAAGGTTGTAGTCACCTCTTGGCCATAGCCAGCTACCCAGAGGGAGTGAATAGTTGAACCTGTGGTCTCAGGACCATAGTCTCAGGGTACATCAAACTCAACTGGCATAACATACTACACAAAACTTTGTTCCACAACCTACTTTGGCAAGTAGTGACTGGGATCTTAAAAGCTTGCAAGCAGTCATCTAGATGCAACCATGGGTCTTCCCTCTCCCAGAGCAAGGAAGAATGAAGAAAACCAAAGATTCGTGGAAAGAATTAGTCCAAGCAACTGGTACATCATGCAATCCTCAACCTATATGACTATGAGACCAGAAGAACTAGATGGTACCTGGCTACCACTGTCAACCACTTGGAGGGGGATCTATATAGGTGACCCTGGATGGAGTGGGAGAATATTGTGAAACAAAACTCAAAATCATTTGGAAAAAAAATTTAAAAATAGGGACCAGGTTTGCTGGTCTGATAAAGTCTGATGGAACCACTGAGACTATGGCCCCTAGCTGCCCTTCAGGTCTGGAATTGAATCTACTCCTGTGGCTTCCAGCCAAACAAAAGACAGGCATATGAGCCAAACATTTACTCTAGGTAGGTACACTCCTTGGAGAGAACAATCATGGGAGAACAGAAGGGCTGTGTATGCACAGAGAGACAGCTCAGGGGACAGGAGTGCATGGAGGCTCAGGGGGTAGGAATGCATGGAGGGAAGGACACAGGGAAAAGGTAACTATGTGGAGGCAGAGGGAGGGGAGCTAATGCATTGTGGTAAATTGTAGTCATTGACCTGAGACAAAGTACATGTGAGCTGCTGTATGGAAAGTGAATTTGCTCTGTAAATCTTCACCCAAATCACAATTAAAAAAAATGACCCTAAGGTTGGATGGGGCTGCCATTTACTGGGATGGGGATGACCTTGAGGACAACAGATTTCAATACCTGGTAGTTATCAGCTGACAGATGGTACTGAATGCCATGGGATCAGATGAAATCAAGGGAATGTAGACAGAAAGGGGGTCCAAGGCTAAGCCCTAAGGTACCCCCATATCACCAGGTAGAAAGATGAGGAGAGTCAGCACAGGAGACTGAGAAAGAGCATTCGGTGGGGCAGGAAGAAAACATTAATGTTGACATGTTAAGGATGGACTCTGTGCTTGAGAGAACAATTCACACCTTTGGGGCACTTATTTAATTTTCCCTACTCATTATGGCAGTTATGCTTAGGTAAACTTTAGACAGAGGCTACTAAGATAAGCACAGATACAATACAGTTTTCTATAAAAGTAATACACAATATTAAGTGAGTTACATCTTCTACCAAGACTGGGGGGCTGGGGGAGAAGGAGTGATAATCAGATTAGATCAGGGTCTTTCACCCTAGTTACCCATGACATTTGTGCCAGATAATTTTTGGTGGGGAAGCTGTTCTGAGCATTGCAGGATGTTTAGCAGAATCCCTGGCCTCCACCACTAGATGTCAGTAGCACACACCCCTACAGATACCAGCTATGACAACCAAAAATGTCCGGACATTGCCAAATGTTCCCTGGGGGACAAAATCACCCCTGTTTGAGATCCACTAAACTGTGAACAAAAACTAGCTCCTATGTATAATTTAATTACGTGGGCTCCCAAATGTAACTGTTAACTTCTGCTAATATTCTTTGCCTACACCTGCCTACCTACTCTCTACTCCAGGTTCTTCACCAACCATCTGATTTAGAAGGTATTTATTATATTTACTTCCCAGAGAAAAGAAAGGAAACAATTAGCTTAGCTTGTCATTAAAAAAAAAAAAAAAAAACTACTTCTGATTTTGCAATGTAAAAGACATGCCCAGAAGCTATTCACGTTAAAATGCCCATTTCTGATATTAAATTCATTTTATATTGAATACAAAATAATTTCTTTTCCCTTAAAATGGAGGTCCTCTCTTGTAAGATTATATAACTTAAAAGATTCAGACCCTTTTTGCATTAGTTTTTTCAATCTTTAACAATTTTTTTTAATTAAAAGTATTTGTGTGTATGTAAACATACACATCTTCTCCTAAAATGATCAACAATCTATTCCATATGTTACTCTATTTACATGAAGGTTTCTATTTCATTACTAATTTTAGCAATTACTTGCAGAGTACCACACTGTCTGTATATTAGACTCTCACTCATTTCCTTCCTGACGTATTTGCTTACAATGATACTTAATTTTAATTATTTGAGTTGAGATAAAATAAATAAAATGAAACAGAAAAGTTAAAGCAAGAGACTATGAGCTAAGTTCTCCGTTCTCAAAGACAAGCTCACCAGCTGTGGGGACTGAAAAAAAGGCACTCATTCAGTAAGAACCAAATCCCAAGAAAAAGTATGTTATACACCAAGTGCAATTTTATGTATTCTCTAACCTGCATGGGATTAATCTTCACTGAGTGTTCAAAGCACTCCACACAGTCTTTAAACTCCTTGTTTCGAAGATGAAGGAGGCCTTTGGAGCGTTGAGCCCGAGCACTGCGATGCTGGGACAACTCCCAGGCCTTGTCATAGTAGGAGTGCTCTTGAAGGACATCTCCAAGCAAGCAATATAAACTTGGTGTTTCTTTTTTCTCCAGCTCTTGCCTAAGGATTTCTTCTGCCTAGAAATAACAAGAGAAATAATTAAACTGCTTAGTAGTTAAAAACTAAAGCCCGTATTCTTAACAAAGATACATTTTTTATGTATCCTTTCACCATACTTATTCAATCTGTGTGCTCAGCAAATAATCTGAGAAGCTGGACTATACGAAAAACAATAAAGGATTGGAGAAACACTCATTAAGAACATGTAATGTGCAGATGACACAACCTTGCTTACTGAAAGTAAAGACGACTTGAAGCACCTGCTGATGAAGACCAAACACAACAGCCCTCAGTATGGACTGTACAGCAAAATAAAGAAACAAAAATCCTCACATGTGGATCAATAAGCAACATCATGATAAACAGAGAAATAACTGAAATTGTAGAGGATTTCATATTACTTGGATCCACGATCAACACTCATAGAAGTACCAGTCAAGAAATTAAATGAAGTATTACATTGAAGAAAAGTAATGCAAAAGAATTCTTTAAGGTTTTATAAAGCAAAGATGTGTGACCCACACCAGTGTATTTTCAATTGTCTCCTATGCATGTGAAGGGAGCTCTGGTAGCATAGTGCCTAAGGCACTTGACTGCTAACCAGAAGTATGGCAGTTCAAATCCACCAGCCACTCCTTGGAAGGAAGGTTGGGCAATCTACGTCCATAGTGATAAAGCCTCAGAAACCCAAGAAGGGGTCGCTATGAGTTGGGTCCGACTCAACGGCACATAACAACAACAACAACAATGCATGTGAAAGCTGGACAATGAATAAGAAAGACAGAAGAAGAACTGACACCTTTGAATTATGGTGTTGGTGAAGAATATGGAATATATCATGGACTTCCAGAAGAATGAACAAATCTACCTTGGAAGAAGTACAACCAGAATGTCCCTTAGAAACAAGGATGGTAAGACTTCACCTTATGTACTTTACACATGTTATCAAGAGGGAGCAGTCTTGGAGAAGGACATCATGTTTAGTAAAGCAGAGTCAGCAAGAAAAAGGAAGACCATCAATGAAATAGATTGCTACTGTGGCTGAAACAATGAGCTCAAATACAGCAATGACTGTTGAGGGTGGCTAAGAACTTATGTATTACTGCACACAGGGTAAGTTGTAACTGGCTCAACAGCACCTGGAAAAAAACAAGTGTCTTTTGCCTTACCTACTCCAAAATTTTATTTTCAACATTTGAGACTACTTGCTTATTTCATGTATCTAAGACATAGGCTGAATAGCAAACAATAGGAAATAATACGATAATAAGTAAAACAGAGGACTAAGGAATAAAAGGGAGCTCTGGTAGCATAGTGGCTAAGGCACTTGACTGCTAACCAGAAGGCTGGCGGTTCAAACCCACCAGCCACTCCCCAGAAGGAAGGTTGGGCAATCCTACTTCCGTAGTGATACTGCCTCGGAAACCCAAGGAGGGGTCGCTATGAGTCAGGGCTGACTCTACGGCACATAACAACAACAACAACAACAACAAGGAATAAAAAGTGAATACTGCTTTACTGGCATTCTTGAATCCTTAAGGAAAAACACCAAGGGAAGGCCTACATCATGGTATCAGGTAGACTCATTTAGTTTCCCATTTCTTTGCTCCAGCTGTCATCATTGTGACTTCTTAGAGCAGTGCCTTTAATTTGCCTCTACCTAACAGCCACAAAAGTTTGTTTTTCTTTTTTTAAAAATGATTATGCTTGGGTAGCCTGGGGTTGCTAAGAAATTTTTAAAAGGTGGATGGTACAATTTAATGTTGTTATTGTTAGGTGTTGTCGAATCAGCTGCAACTCATAGCAACCCCATACACAACAGAATGAAACACTGCCCAGTCGTGTGCCATCCTCACAATCTTTGCTATGCCTGAGCCCATCATTGTAGCCACTGTGTCAACCCATCTCATTGAGGGTCCTCCCCTTCTTCACTGACCCGCCACTTTATCAAGCATGATATTCTTCTCCAGAAGTGGTGCCTTCCAAGAATATAACCAAAGTGAGATGAAGTCTGGCCATTCTCACTTCCAAGGAGCATTCTGGCTGCACTTCCTTCAGGACAATTTGTTTGTTCTTCTGGTAGTTCATGGTACTTTCAGAATTCTTGGCCAACACCACAACTCAAAACTATCAACTCTTCTTCAGTCTTCCTCATTCATTGTCCAGCTTTCACATGCATATGAAATGACTGAAAATACCATGGTTTGGGTTCAGCACATCTTAGTCTTCAAAGTGACATCTTTGCTCTTCAACACCTTAAAGAGGTCTTTTGCAGCAGATTTTCCAAGTGCAATATAACATCTGGTTTCTTGACTGCTGCTTCCATAGGTCTGAAACTTGTTCTTGAATGGAGAGTAAAGCAAATGGAAGAAATGACAAGATAAAAGAGCTGAACAGAAGAGTTCAAAGAGAAACTTGAGAAGACAAAGTCAATTATTATAATGAAATGTGCAAAGACCTGGAGTTACAAAAACAAAAGGGAAGAACACTTTTGGCATTTCTCAAGCTGAAAGAACTGAAGAAAAATTCAAGCAAGTTGCAACAATTTCATAGGCATTGTTAAAATCTTCCCCTTAACCACAAACTACATCTTATCTTACAGATAAAGCATGCCAGCATTAGGTCCATTTGATACCATGCAGTCCATTCACTTTAAAAATTAAAGCCCACCCTTGATACATTAGACAGGATTGAGTATTACTGCCATATTTTCGCAATTCAGATTCACTTCATCATCCAAGCTAATTCTGCTCTATTGCCACTACTCCTCTATTTCCCTCTGACTCATGCCCTCCACTCATTTCTGACAATTTTCCACAGCCAGTTTAGAAGCTTCTTAGTAGTAGCTCTATTTTCTATCACATATGAACACTTTCCCATAATCAATAGTAGTGTAGCCAAAGAAGCTAAGATAGTCAAAATGGAAGTCATCAGAGGTCAGTGAACTCTTTCTGTAGGAGGCCACGCAGTGAATATTTTAGCCTCTGTGGGCCATGTAGCCTTTGTCATAACTACTTAACTGCTACTGTAACACAAAAGAAGTCACAGACAGTACATAAATGAATGGACATGGCTGTGTTTCAGTAAAACTTTATTTACAAAAATAAGCTGTAGGCTAGATCTAACTAGCTGTAGTGCATTTTTTCCTCTGATATAGCCTTTCTGGTGTCTTAGCTGGTGCCTGGAATGTTAATGAATGCAGTGCATTGAATTGCTTGGTATGGCCCTTCTAGCCATAATCTCTGCAACTCCCACCAAATGACTGGGTGGGACTATGTAAATGTGAGGTGCTGTGGCTCACCAAGGGAGAATTGGACAGCTTGTTAATAATGGTAATAAGGCACATGGCACTCATGTAGGGATGGGACCATGGAAATAAGGTACATGAAACCCTAACTTGGAAACTGGTCAGTTTTGCCATTCACTAGGCTTAAAATAGCCATTCCAGAGGCAGAAAGGTGGATCTCACCACCATCAAGACAAAAAAGCCAGGAATAGAGAGCATCTTTTGGACCTGAGATCCCTGCACTTAACGTCTTCCATGCAGATCAAGAGCTGTGACATCAGAGATGGCAAGAAGCAGTGTCAGAAACAGTGGCAGCAGAGGCAGCAGAGCAAATAGAACCAACAGACTGACAGGAGACAAGAATGCAAGTGCCTTAAGGCAGCAGACCTGCTGGTAGAGTTGGGTGGTTCTCTGGGCACTTATTGGAATAGCTAAAAGAGCTTTCTATCACTTGCCTGAGCAGGGCAGAGGCCAAGAGGCCATGAAGCCAAGAGGCCAAAAGCCAGAGAGAGGCACTGCTGAGAAGTTGTCCTGACTGAAGAACTGTATGTACCCTGAGTTGTTCCTGATCCCAAATTGTAACCTGTCACTTCCCTAATAAACCCCATAATCATGGGTGTTGTCCGTGAGTTCTGTGCGGCCACTGGCAGCATATCTGACCTCTGCCTCACAGTAATCATCCTTGGGCTGTTGATGCTTATGGTGATTCTCTGTTCCCTTCATGAAGTTAGAGGAGGTGGGACAATGCAATCACCATGCCCCTTTTGTACAATCCCTTGCTATTCTAGTTCCAACTACCATTGCTGAAACTGAACAGAGACCATGAAAAATAAATAAATGACTTGCTGTTTTAAACTACTAAGTTTTGAGGTAGCTTGTTACATTGCAATAGTATCTGCAACAGTTGATTGAAGTGGGAGGGCCAGGCTAATACCCGTTACTTCTTCATGGAGTAACTGGTATTAGGAGCAGAAAAAGGACTAGTTATGAAAGAGTATGACTCAAGAATTTAAGTGTAAATATTTAGGATGGTTCAGATAACTGCATGTCCTAGATTCCCAACCTACTGGGCTTTCCTATAACAGCAGTAGTAGTCTGGTCCTATCTGGTATGACTAGTGATCCTTTGCTTAAAGACACTGTACAACTGTAGTTCATGTAGACACCATGTAAGAGAATGCCAATTCTCCTCATGGCTGACCCTATCCATCCCTCATTACCTCAGACATATAAACAGACTTACACACAAAAAGAACTGCAAGATTTTGCTAACTTATACAGGGAAAACCTTGAGACTGTGTAATAAAAGAGATGGTAAAGGTGTTAAACCAAAGAGAAAAAACAAAATCAAACCCACTGCCATCAAGTCAATTCTGACTCACAGCAACCCTACAGGACAGAGCAGAACTGATGCATAGGGTTGCTAAGGCTGTAAATCTTTACAAAAGCAGACCGTCTCATCTTTCTCCTGTAGAGTAGCTGGTGGGTTTGAACTGCTGACCTTTTGGTTAACACCCCAATACTTTAACCTCAAAGCCGGGAGAGCTCCTTAGACCAAAGAAAAAGAGGATCATAATTTTAAATCAGGCTGAATTTAAAGGTAGTCATCAGAAATTCTTGATTCACAGTGCTAACTCAGACAGCTGGAGGTGGCTATAAATCATTTGTTCAATTCCTTGACTAAAATCTGGACTCAAATGTTGCCAAAACTAAACAAAACTGTGATGCCAGA